ACAAAAGCCCAATTGCAGTGGAACCAGCATTACGACAACTGGCACCGCTTTTGGGTTAGTTCTTTCAGAGCTGCTTAGATCAGAACCAAGTTATTGCTGTGTGGAAATATGAAATAAGAACCGCGATTCACAAAAGAGTAAGCAGCACTGTGCCTTCAAACTACCGTCCAGTATCTCTTCTTCTTATACTGTGCAAGATCACGAGATCCATTGTTGTCCATACACTGGTGTGCTGTCAGGATAACATGGGCATCTCTATCTTCCGACAGCCTCTCAATGCGTACGTTTGTCCCACGTCTAATGTGCAATACAAGACTGACCTCCATGGCTGAAGCACTGCTCCAATGAACTGGACCAACCTCAACGTTGAGCTTTCAAATACGTCGTTAGAATGCGAAATCGCCCATACGAACAGAGGCTGAGATGATTGAGATTAATTAAAATCCTTTCCACTGAATACGAGGCAACCTGATAACTTCATAATTGATTCTGCATGGTCAAAACAATGTACGCCGCTCACCACTGCAACTCAACATTAACAGAACTAAGTGAAGTCACTCTTTGAATCTGGCTGAACAGTACAGCCCTCGAGAGTAGCTTTGAAATTTCTTTTCTATTCGTGGAGATCAGCTAGAAGACGTTCAAAAATTTTGCTACCTGGGCAGTTGTATCAGCGCCTGTGGCATGGAAGTGCTGTCACAAACCGTATGGCAACAGCTCGAGGCACTTTTGCTGTTTGCCACCTATGGACCTGTCACGACGTCACTCTCTCCCTGAAGAATAGAGTTTGCAATGCAGCCGTAGGTTCGACCCTACAGTATGGTTGTGAAATCTGACCCATTAAATCGCCAGAAATATCTCAGCGGAGCTTAGTAATTATGAAGTACACCGTTCTGACAGTCTGCAGCTCAAACAAAGCCTACGCAGTGATCTTGAAGCCTGGTGGCCCCAGCTTGCTTCGGAAATGGAGGCCACCGCCCTCTCTGGCAATACTCGCAAGCTCTTCTAGCTTATTTGATCCACTGGCCACAGAAAGCCTATTGTCAGTAATAGAATATGCGAAGCGGTTGGTTCGCCGATTGCCAACATACAGCAACGCTTGGACCGATGGGCCGGAGATTTTTATTCCCAGTTCATTTGGCCCTTACCGTTCACTTATATTCCCTGCGAACCCAGCTTCCCGTCCTGGATCATCACACTTGATCCAGCCAGAGAAGCGGAAGTTTGTCTTGCGATTCGACACTTAAAAGCCCTTCAAGTCTGCCGGCTCAGACAGACTTCCTCCGGAGTTGTTCAAGTATGGAGGCTCAGTTTTCATTAGCCGGCTAACCTCATTGTTCTCCAAAAGCTTACATGAAGAAAAGCTACCTTCTTCATAGGGCGAGTCAGTTATTGCCACGAGTACAACGATGTACCAAGCACCCGGGGATTAGTCTCATTTCGGTTGCATCCAAGCTATTGGCATCCATTTTTACTCCCTAGACTAACTCCCATTCGCGAATCGCAGTACCGGGAAGAAGATGCTGGCTTCCCACCTGGCCGCGGGTGTGTGGATCAGATATTCACACTCCGTCAACTCCTGGAACACAGCCACTTTTTCAGTGTCCTACCATTATCGCATTCCTGAACATCCGTGCCGCATTCGACTCGGTTGATCAGCCTGCACTATGGGGTTGTTTGCTGAAGAACGGTGTTCCGGAAAATTACACTGCCGTCATACGCGCACCGTATTTCCATATCTCCGGCAGAGTGCGGGAGTATAGCATGCTTTCTTCCTCCTTCACTGCCAACAGCAATGTGCGACTGGGCTGTCCTGTGTCTCCTTTCCTCTTCAATTTTGCGGTTGAGGACCTCCTGTCGAGAGCTCTAGACGGTTAACAAAATTTTGGTATACGACTACTACCTGGTAAGTGAGCGACCGACTTAAATTATGCTAATGACATCGCCTTGCTTGGTGACGACTCACAGAGCATGCAAGCCATTCTACACCGTTTGGCGATTGAGGCATCTATGTACGCAATGTGTTTTGCTCATTCAAAGTGCTGCTACATGATTGGCACTCACCCGTTCCCGTGCAGATTAGTGAAGGTACACAGATTTAAGATGTAGATAGTTTTGTCTTCCTGGGAAGCTGTGTGTGTGCTTGTAGTATAATTAGAAAGGAAGTTTCTCTTCGCATCGCCTAAGCTCGGTCTGCGTTTGTCAAACTGCAGCACTTGTGGCGTCGTGGGGATGTCTCCCACTTAAAAAATGGACGTGTTTACAATGCCACCGTTCGGGCTGTGTTGTTATATGGAAGCGAGTCATTACCAGTTCGCGTATATGACATGCGCCGGCTCTCGACCTTCGACAACGGGTCCTTGGGTAGGTTTGCTCGTGTGTGTTGGCAACAACACATCTACAATAGTGAAGTCAGACGCTGTGTCTTAGGGAATGCGTGTATTCCCTTCAACAAGCTAGCTTCGCTGCGCCAGTCCTGCGTATATCAGCTGAGCGTTTGCCCTATCGCGCTCTGTTTAGTTGTGCAGGACTCAAATGGAAGAGATCACGTGATGACCCCCATCCACCTGGCAACAGCATATGAAATCGTTGATTTCAAGTTTTGCTATCATTGTATTCACACGGCTGCCTGGTTTGGGACCAATGGACGAGGAGTGCCGATGGCTGGAAAAAATTCAGGATATGGCTAGTAATCAAAACCAGTGGAGGATCTGTTTACGTAACTGTTTATATTTGTACGCTTAATGCGTAACGATTAAAAAAGAGAAAAAAAGATCAAAAATGGCTTTTGCGAAATAACAAAAATGCGACGTGTTCTTCTTCTATTGCTGCACAATTGCTATAGTGTGTTGCTCGCCTTCATTTAATGTGCCATGATGATGATACTGTGTTAAACCTATCTTCTTCCAGTGATTTTCATGGATTTGTTCGGCTCTATGTCTATTCAAGAGACTTTTGCTTATCCTGCAACTACTACAAAAAGTACTCATGAGTAGGGGATTTTGATGTTATTAAGTGAGGCTCTTCGCAGCCAGTCTCCAAATCAGGCTGAAACTTCAGTCTAGTGCTTTTCCGGGCATGTGGAAGACTATCTGATTTGGAAACTGCCTGCGAAAAACCTTACTTAATTACTACATAAAGTGTTTTGCTACTTTCGGCCACTGGTGCCTTCGCAGTTTGGCTTATAATTGGTGGGTACACTGGGTGAGCAATGAGCGCGTTCGACGCCTCCTTCGTGGCACAGAGGGAGAAAATGAACTGCTCAGACTCATTAGTTCACGCACCAGGCGCCGATCGCTGGGCTTGTGTTGCACGTGCCATCCCACCGACTCCCGCAACGTGCGTTGTTTTCGCGCCTGTGGTGTGGATGGAAGAAGAGGAAATGTATGCAACTGATGGCTTGCTCGAGAAGAACGAAGGCCCTTAGTTCGAAGTTAACTACGGTTGGAGCTTGAGGTTCGAAAGACGATGGACACGTTTGGCTGGATACACTTGCTGACATGACTAGAAGCCCACCCCAGTGGGGTTTGTGTTGGGCGTTTCTTTGTCTACCTCCCTCCCGCTTAACCATTCCCAGCAGCCACCATTTCATTTCATAGCATAGCATCAATTTTACATAATACCGACTGGTGGCTGTCCGGAACCATGCCCATCCACTACTGGTGGCTCAGCTGGCACGCCACAGTTACAGGTATTTTTCTGTTCTTATGCATTGTGGCACAATAGCTGAGGTGTTTTCCCACCAGTAGCTAACGTGTTTAATCATGATGTTGCTCTATGTATTCTATTTATTCATCTGTTTGTGTGTAATACCAGTGGAACGTTCTTCTCGAAGCGTTCGTTTATGCACCGACAATATCTGTATCTAAAAGACCATTGGATGGTGCACTCAGCCACTTAGGTTTTGTTGTTTAACTCTATCTCTCTGTTAAACCCCTGTAAAATACCTTGGATTAATTAACTGTCACCCGTTGGTGATGTGATTCTACATGGAATGCACGAGTACGGTATTAAAAATGAGAATTCCTTATCTGATTTTACAAGTAATCCATGTTTTTCGACAGCACGACGAGAGGCTTATAAAACAGCGCTTTTTTATAGCTCTAAAGTGTTGGTGAAGATTCATCGCAGTTAGACTAGGACAGAAAGCCACCACGCATCCAGTAGAGTGATTTTTTAATGTGTGGTGGCCACCTGAGTATCGCTGCGACGAAAATGCACAAAACCCAGTTATTGTTCATTGTTTAGTCATAACTACCTTCTGCTTCAAACTTCGGAGTGCAGAGAACGCGTACTTCTAACAGGTTTACTCTATCTGAATTACATTTTCCACCTTGCGCCTCAATTAAGCGACAAACGTCAGCAGATGGATGATGAAAAATTGCTGGGCGAACATCTTAATCAAGCTATTGACAAGACGGATGCTTATAAATACTTGTATTGGTTTAGTACCTTGTAATCCGGTAAGCACATGTCCCTGTTCTGTTAGATTAGCTGTGAGACTAGCCTCGAAGCATACACGCGTTGTATAACTATTATACGTGCGGTCTGGCTCAGGACTAACTAAACATGGCCGAAATGTTCTTTCCTTATCCATTCGTGTGTTATGTCCAGGTTGTTTCCGAAAGGCATACGCATGATGATGCTGTGTTATTGTACCATGGGGGTCTACAATGTACTCGTGAAATGTGCATTTAACACAATGTGAGCCCTTGAGTGTTATCAGGCGGTAAAGTGCGAAAAACATCGAGTAGTTTTAATTTCCACTAAAGTATGTGTCTTACTTTGCGTCAGGTTAGCACACATACTTCGCTTGGTTCCGCGCGAAATTGCTTGACGCTACACGCGTCTTATTTCTTGAAATACTGAGGACTCACAGCCCGTTGTCTCAACAAATTCCTAGTTTTGAAGTCATTAAGCCATGTCAATTTTCTAATGGATCAAATTTGACACGCCACAAATAAAACTTGTATGTTTTGCGATCTCATCATTACCTACAGGGTGAAAAATTTACTTACAGCTACGGGTTAGAAACCAGGAGAAAATGTCGTCATCTTCTGAAGGAATGTAAATGGTGTTTCAGTTTCTATAAGTAAGCTCAGCTGTTCTTCATTTAGTAACCCCCGTACTTATTTTGCAATCCGGCACATCAGTACCGAATCCCAGTCTTTTTGCTTATACCGATTATTGATCTTAATGCATTCATTTTCCCGGGTCCAGATAGTAAGCGCAACGACAGAGCACCAAGTCTGACATTCGGTAGCACGGTTTGTAAACTGCACACGCAAGTGTCTATATTACAGTTGCTCTTGCACTCCCTCTAGTACAACATTGACAGCTACGATACAACAGGAACTTCAATTTAAAGACATGATTACGCTGTTGGCTATTTTGTCTTAATTATGAGACTCATATCATTACAAATTTACTCAGCGATTCCCCATATCACTTAATTTTCAGTGTATTGGGTGCTTGTTTATAACCAGCACCATTCCGTTCGCCACCGACTTTTGGTGTAGATCCAACTGAGCTAGTTAGAAAAGTTACATATTTGAGTACCGCTTCGATACCGAAGATAAAATCCAGTTGGATAGAGGTGCCAACTCATGCACCTTTATTTCAACACATGTAGTTAAACTAGCATTATTGTAATGTTGTTAAGTCTGTAAACTACGTTCAACTGGCTTCGCATATTAAATGTCTGGAGATGACTTTACGGTAGCGGAGACTAGCTGTATATGCGACTTGTTTGCACGGCTAAACTCCGGGAACTCCTGTGGAGTGTTAGCCGTGCTACCAGGCTGCTTTGACTAAGCCATTGTTTTCACAGGTCAGTCCAATAACAGCATGGAGCGTTTTTGATAAATTCTTAAGGGTGGCGAAATGATGACTTGGTCATGGGGTAATAACGCTCATACGGCGATTCTGCTATTATGAAAGACACGCATTTCAGCTTATAGGTCCGTGTACTATCTTTTCACGGTAAGCAGCGTTTCGTTCACCTCCCTTCACCATCACTGTAATGTACTGTAATGTAATGTAATGCACTGACCTTGATCTTAGGTCAACCCAACTTTGCCACTTATTCGAGTTATCTAAGTAGTCGGAACAAATAAGTCTACAGTGTACTATCTGTGGATCCATGCTTAAGCTAACTGCCTGAAACCCTCAATAAATTCGTAACCGATTTCTCTATCGCCATCCTGGTTGACGAAATCATCGCGATACATACCCGAAAGAAGGGTTACATGATACAAGCTGTTTTCATCACTGCTACCGTGGCAATGTTTGCGCAATATAAGATTTGGCGTTGTGAATAAATTAACGGCAGGTTTATCGATGACACGTAAAACTATTCGCTAGAAGGGACGAATCAAAAAGTATTGCGGTCATTCCATGCTATCATATAATGAACTAAAAAAATACATGAACACAAATTTCGTGTTTGTGTGAGTGCAAGGATGTAGTTCTTTTTATGCTACGTTTTCGACCCGCCGATGTCCTGCGTTCTTCACAAATACATGACGGATGTTCTGGAAGGGAAAATAAGTAAACAAAACTAGCCGTAAGCCACAGAGTGATCTGTAGTTGTTACTTTAGATTGGACAGGTAGGTTTAGCAGTAATTTTGTCAGGCGCCATCGATACCATTCTCGAAGGTGTTAGCCAGGGTCCATTCTGGCCCAAACATATTAACCGCGCTCTTAACGATTAAATGCTCGTCAACCACAAACCAGAACTCAAAAAGTGCGCAGCAAATTCTGGTATCTCCTGGAATTCTGTTCTATATCCTAGAGTATGGGTTAGAATAGAAGTTCCCTGATTTAGGTAGGGAACTTCAGAATCGAGACATTTGACTCCTTATTGCGTATCAGGTGTTTATTGTTCAGACATAGGATCACCTTTATCAAAACTGGGCGTATAAGCCTTTGTGATACTGAAACGAAAACATAGATTCAGCTTCATTCCCCTATGCCAGCCTGGGTCAAGTCCAAGTTCAACGCGATGCTCTTTGTGCCATTTTTGAGGAATAACCGCATAGCTTTCTCGTGCGACGTCGCTGGACCCTCCAGAAATTAAGTTGCACTGATTTTCGTAGGTTTGATTGGATAAATAAACCGTATTTTACACTCGGGAATACATATGCTTTGTAGATCCGGACCCGATATTCGGTGGGATAAAACTAATGACACAATTATCCAATGGCGTTCGTGACCTGCGAAACTTGAAAGTAATACTGCTCAACACGATGTTGAGCAAGCTGCCTTATTTGCTGGGGCACACTGTTTACAGATGAAAAAGAAGGCGTTCCAGGTGCACTCTTGCATTACCCCACTACCGATGGTTTTCGATCCGGAGTAGTGTCATACATTTTTCTCCGTCTGTTGTCGAGCACGTGTGTTAGTAGCCACCGATGAGGTTATCTAGCAAAAGATTATTGCATGTCCAAGAACAGGAATACAATGTTGTTTCCGTTGTATAGGACGGCTATTGTGTGCACTAAGTTGTCCGCCTGGTATGTCATGTAGTAAGGACATTACAAAACACCGTACTGTAGCCTGCTGAGGATCTTTTCTTCGTTCAAGAATAATAGTAGTTCATCATTATTTATTAGGTCTATTGTTATAAACGTAACAGGGCATGTGATTTGTGAAAAGCCATTTTTAACCTCTTCGGGACATTCATTTTCTGCTGCGGGATAATAACAAAGTCTTCAATTGAGCCGGAGATACTTCGTTGTTGAAGGAGAACGCATAAATGTCAAGCAGAAATAAAGGCCAGTCGCTTCCACAAGTTCTTAACAATCAGTGGGGGATTCCAACAAGTGCAGTTTGAGTCGAGGAAGATAAAAGCGGGAAAGCTGGTCAGCAGCTTTTGTAAAAGTGCATTCTATTGTACACGGATTTTTACTGGTGTACAAAATAACAAGCATTGGTATTTCCGACAACATTTTATCCATCCTTTGGCAAAATATACACTGACCGTTTTCTTAATATCAGCTGGCGCATCGAAGTATGTCCAAGAAGGCATAATAATGGCATTGCAAGGGTTACTGCGGTGCTAAACTCCGGTTTGAAATAAGCTAACTAGTGCAGTTTTTGCTAAGGTTTTTCACAGCTTCATATTCTTCAGAAATGAAAGTGTTGTCATTCTGACGACCGAGTTCTTCTACAACCTTTGACCACCGTAGAAATATCGCGGTCTACAGCTGGCCTGAATCTTCCCCAAATCTTATAAGGTTTGTGTACAATGTTTAATGGGATGTTCCCGGGTTTATGCTTTGTTCTGCGAGCACATTTTAGCAACGCTACTGAATCAATGTAGAAGCCAACGAAATAATAGAACAAGTCTGTTCCCTGTTGAGGACTTGCAGCTAGAAAGAAACTTTCCCAGTTCACCGACCGAATTAGGTCTTGGAACCAGTTCCATTTAATGAAACTGAACAAACAATATGGTGTGAAGTATTGTGCTTCTGTCATGTGTGCTCTTATGTAGTATTTGACTGCCTGATGATCGCTTCCAGGATTTCTTGAAGAATGAACATACTATTAGCGGGTATGCCAAGTGTAAAAATAAGATCCAGTTTACTGTCATTTTAAGAGCTTGGGAGATTTGTTACTGTCAGTCATATTCGAGTAGGGGAAATTTTGAAATTCAAAGGACCAGTTCCTTTGGACTATGTAACGAATCGCCTCCGAGTATCTTAAGTTTAAACGGTAAGCTTGTGGTAAATTTGAATACAGATGTCAACATTTCTAGATCCTCTTAGTTGCAGTTTGGAGCACAGAACATCTGGTGGAAAGACAACCTGAACTGTTTTCCGTACTACGAAGTAAAAGTATGTGAGACAAGCCGCACAGACCTGTTGAGCGAAGTGGACTTTAATTAAGGTACCATTTTATTTGGCTCGCGATGATCAACAAGGCATCTCCCATCACTTCGGTCGTTTTCCCTTACACTGCATACTATGCATCGTGCAGCAGAGGGTTACATGTATCGCCCAAGTCTTCATTGAACTTGCGGGAGTAAGAGGCTAATGTAAATAGATAATAATAATGTGTCAGCTATACGCCGTAACGGCGCTTCGCTGCCGCACGAACACGGCAATTCGCGAGCGGGCTAGGTATACCGAAAAGACGCCCACCCCATGCGAATTCGAACCGGGGACCTTATGGTTGCAAACCAGGTGTGCGGACGACTCAGCTACCGGCCGACAGAGGCTAATGTATCAGGACAGAAATAGTAGATCGCGGTTGCTCCACTTGGCACGTGTGGTGTATGCACTTTCTAACTTTTCTAAGTTCTGAAATGTAATGTCGCACTGCAAAAAGTTTCTGTAGCCGATGAATAGAACTGCTTTTCCTATGTTCACCACCGCAAGCAACTAAGCCTCTGCGTATCTACCTTATCCAACTGTCATAAGGGCAGACGATTTACAGTCGGTCGTTTACTCGTAACAGTTTGGTATATTCAGTGGTTTGAAAAGCAAGGGAAAATATGTTAGTACCTACATGAATATATTATTGTCTCTTTAGTACCTCTAACAATAACCGATTTGCAGTTAAATACCTAACTTTTATTGCGAACAAAAGATTTTTAGGGGAAAACTGAATAACAGAATTTCATCCTCTATAATCACGACAACATAAAGCTGAAAATAATTATTTTTGAACGCACGTAGATGGCTTACTCAGGTTTATTGCGACAGCCTCGCTGAAGTGAACGAAACAGAGGTTAGTGTGGTGCGACTGTATCCGACGAAGCGTGGCCAGTAGATGTATTCCTATTGAGGAAGTAAGAGAAGTGTGTGGGCGGGGAGGTTGACAAGGGGAAACGATTCTGCTCAGTTCCATTTTGAGAACACCTTGACACCTGTTCCTTTATACGGGAATAAGCGTCATATTGCTTCTACCTATGTAACTGGCTCCACAGTCACCTACGATATTGTATGTACAATGTGATTTGGTCCAGGATGACAGCTCACTTCGTTAGTAGTGCCAGTGAACCGCAAATTCGGTTGGTGACGACCACCTGAGCGATATTGTAAACGCTTAGTACAGCAAAGAATAACCGCTTCTTTTTCCAGTATAAT